AATAAACGGTTAATTATTATTATTATTATTATTATTATTATTACACACACACCCACATCACCACCTTACACATGTGTGGAAAATAATAATAACATCAGTAATCATTAGCATTACACTAAATATTTCCCCTGGAGTTTTATCATAGTTTTTAGAAAAGTTTGGTTGTCAGCCCAGGTTGGTAATTTACGAGTTTCGGAAAATAGTGTTGGAACGAAATTACTCGCTCGGAATTACAGTGTGTTAGGGGGGCCTCAGATTCACCCAAATTTGTACAGTGTAATTTTTACTCCCGGGTGAAGGTGTTAGACCGTGCCTGACTGGTTTAATTAACTTACGACACAAAGATGATCCTCAAATATTCGTAAAGTTAGAGTTTCCTTAATAGATGATGGATGACCTCTCTAAATGGGTCACTTTAGCTATGACACTCACGGACACATACGCATGCATACACACCACACCCACACCACCACACTCCACCACACCACCACACTCCACCACACCACCACACTCCACACACACTTTACTCTCAGTGGTAAAAGGTGTGTGAAAAATAAGCCATTGTATATTTTGGTCAATAGTTGGTAGGTGGCAGGAGACCGGAGGAGGGAACGAAAGGGGCGTGTGAGGAGGAGGAAGAGAGGAGAAGAGGGGTGAAAGGAGGAGGAAGAGAGGAGAAGAGGGGTGAAGGGTATAAGGAAGAGGAGGAGGGTGGTATAAGGGGAGGAGGAGGAAGAGAAGGAGGGGGGGGTTGAAGGAGAAGAGGAGGAGGTGGAGCAGGAGGAGGAGGAGCAGGAAGAGAAGGAGGGGGTTGAAGGAGGAGAAGAGGAGGAAAAGAATGGTACGAGAGGAGGAAGAGGGAAGGAAAATAATGTGCGGTAATAGAAACAGTCCACACACACACACACACACACACACACACACACTGGCTGTACCAAATGCCTTCAGTAGTCTCGCTTATAAACAACTATTGTATTATGTATCACCAAATGTGTTGAGAAATGTTAAAAGAGACGATGGTTGTGGAAACTGGGACACACTCAGTAAATCTCTACTTCACTTTAACACCCCGTGTCTCTCTCTCTCTCTCTCTCTCTCTCTCTCTCTCTCTCTCTCTCTCTCTCTCTCTCTCTCTCTCTCTCTCTCCCATTTTTTCCTATTTTTCTCTTCTGTTTTTTCTCTCTCTTTCTCTCTGCCGTTTTCTCTCTCTTGCTTCCCACTCCCTCCTTTCTCTTCCTTCTCCTTTTTCTCTCATTCTCCTTCCCTTTCTCTCATTCTCCCTCCTTCTCTTCTCTTTCTCTCTAGCTAAGAGTTCCAGAAGAATAATCTCAGCGATTTGAGATACTGTGTCTGTGTGTGTGTGGCAGAGAGAGAGACTTTTGAATTGGCGTCATGAAATCTTTACCATGTGCAATAAAGTGCACTGAACTTTGCCTCTCCACACATAGCCCCTAGCTGACACTGGCTGACCTTATTGCAGCTGACAGACTGACACACGGTCCCTAGCTGACCTCCACTAGTTGACTGAGTGATACACGATCCCTAGCTGACACTGGCTGACCTTATTGCAGCTGACAGACTAACACACCGATCCCTTGCTGACATTACCAGACCTGTACCAGCTGACAGACAGACACAAAGACAACCCTCTAACTCTGTCTGACCATATAACCGCTGACAGGTCACAGACAGATGCTTGCTATCACTGCCTTTCCCTACAGAAACTGACAGCCAAACAGACAAGCTACTATAACACCAATCTAGCGCCATAGACAAGCTATCTACGGCATCTGTCTGTCTTTATACCAGTTGACAGGAGGAAGGGTTGGGTAGACAGGGCGTTTTTATCGTAGTTGACAGACAGAACGACAAACATTATCAGTGACTTTTTCTTACAGACTCAACACTATCTTGTACCAGGACGAGTGAGGAGGAGGGCGATAGGCTTAAGAAATGAGGGAGAAACAGAAGGAAGAGATAGGGAGGAGAGGGAGGGGGAGGAAGAGAAGAGACAATTAAAGGGAGAGAGAGGAGAGGAGGTAACTAACAGGAGAAGGAGGAAGAGAAGAAGATGAGAGAAGAGGAGAAAGAAGGGGAACCAGTAGAGAAGATCCCTTGAAGTAGGTGAGCGAAGGGTTCTTAAGTTACCCCCTTAATATTTTTTTTTTACTGATCAGCCGTTTTCTGAGAGTCACCCCTCAGTTGGGTTGATGGTCTCTCTCTCTCTCTCTCTCTCTCTCTCTCTCTCTCTCTCTCTCCTCCATTACCCTATCACATGCTGCCAAGGTTTCACAAAATATCTCACCACCACTACCTACCACCACTACCTACCACCACTACCTACCACCACTACCACCACCACTACTACCACCACCACTACCACCACCACTACTACCACCTACCACCACTATCATTTATGTCGTTAGAAAAAAAAAGTAAAACAAATCCTAAATAAAAGAGATAGAACAAGATAGGAAAAAAAAAGCATGAAAAAGACAATAAACTTTTGTATAAATCTCTGTAACGGTGGAAGGAAAAAAAGTAAATAAAAGACTCGCAGAAAATAAAAGCCAGATGGATCAACACAAGAAAAAAAAAGCATTAAAAAAGATACGGGGCTTTTTTTTCCCTATAGGTCGAGATAATAAAATTGGTCAGAAAAATAAATATAATAATTGGAAAAAAAATTAAATAAAAATAAAAGAGGAAAAAATAAAATAAAATGAGAGAAAATAATGTGAGATAAAATAGAGGAAATAAAGCGATTTTTATAGCAGTGAATCTCAAATCTGGAGCATTTTACGTTTAGAGATTTGCCTAAGATGGGGCTTTTAAAATACCCTGGGTCTTGGATATATGTGTGTGTGTAGTGTGTGTGCGTATTTTTACTTAAGCACACACACACACAGACTAGTATACATAGACAAACACACACACACACCTAAAACATTCTCCAACACACACACACAAAACACCAGCAAATAAACATTGTCAATAAGTTACCACACTAAGCATGACGGCCTTTCATATTTAACAAAACATTCTCTCTAACAAATAAGAAAATAAAACTGGAGCTACACGTTAGTAATGAATTCTAGATATAATATTACTGTATGTTGTGTAGTGTCTGATTAATGCGTTTGGTGCTGTCAGAGTAAGTAACAATTATAATTATTTTTATCACGGTATATTTACGACACAGTTACATATTCAACCACTATTTTGTTTTTATACACAAGAAAAAAAACACTTCTCTAATTACATAGGAATAATGAGGTGGTTTTTTTTTCATATACAAGTTTTTTTTCTGGTTCATGTTGTATAGTTTGTGTGGTGAGTTTTTTTCAGCACATAAACGGCGCAATTAGTTCATCTCTGGGTAAATATTTCATAATTGTGCTGAAAGAATAAAAAAAGTATTTATTTGTATGAAAAACAAACACAAACACTCTAATGAGCCCATAAATAACACTTTTATATTACAAAACTACATTATTGTATTGTATTAAACTGTTTGCGGTAAAATATATCAAAACTGAATCACAGAAGTTTAATTTTCCCTCGTACATGAATCGCTTGTAACTTGAAATACGAGATAAATTCTGACTATTTAACTTAATCTAATAGAAAAAAAGTCATTAAAAAAACTAACTATACAAAATTGCGTTGAAAAAACATAACACAACGGTCGAAGGTTTTTGACAACCCTAACGAGACAACGGAAGTCACAGTGTTCATTCTGAAATTCATC